CGAATTTAATTCGAAGTTCGACATTTTTCTAAAGGTAGGTTTTTTTTAATTAAAAAAAAAGTTTTAAAAATAAGGGAATTTTAGTGTCTTACACCTTCTTTCCCCTTGTCAACTAAAATAAGCAATCACGAACCACTTCCTCCAGTAATATGCTTACGTAATTTTGAAGGGCTCTTAAGTAAATTTAAGTTGTTTTGAGGAGATTATATAATAAATGGCCAAATGAAGAATAATAAACCTTAAGCATTTTTTTCTTAGTTGCAACTTGTTTGTATTTTTTCTTCCGCACCTCTCTGTTTCCCTCCTTTCATTGTGTTTCAATACTGAGGATGGTTCGTGATTATGGAACCAAAACTAGGGTTCTTCTGTTTTTGTGGCTTTATTCACATTACGTAGCTTTATTTTTATTATTATAAATATCTTTTAAATTACGCGTAATTTAACAACCATTGATATAACTCGTTATTGAAAACCTGTTGCAATGTTACTTGTTTTATTAAGTAAACAGTATGTCAAAGTAACGAAGAAATATTTTTTTAACAAAACACTAAATTTATCTGAGGAAAAAAAATGTTTTTTTTTTTTTTTAAAGTTAATATAAATGAATTATAAACCTTACCATAGTAAAACTTTTAGCACACATTAAAGTGGTAAATTTAGAAAAAAAAATTAAATTTAGTGTTCAAAATTTATCTTTAGGTTGTCGATTCTCACTGTTTTCCAACTTCATAATGAAAGATAACATTATCTGAATAATGTTTTTAATGAATTTATGAATTTATTGTAAGTACACTGAATTTAAAAAAAATTTACATTAAAAATTTTAATATATTCGTAATTTTAAATTAAACTCACTGCATTCAGAGTTGGACAGGAACAAAAGCAAATTTTTCCAAATGACAGACAGAAACACATTTTTACAGTTTTTTAATCTCCTCTCAACAAGCCATTTTGTTAAGTGTTACAAAAAAATAAATAAATATTGTATTTCACTATATTAAGTTTATTAATTAATTTTAAAAGTGTTTGCATAAAAATAAAATGAACAAATCACATTATGGTTTGAATGAAATAATTAAATATAATTTTTCTTATATGGCACAATTAATTTCATTTTAGAATGTAATCAGATCAATCCTATATTAATTTTTCGTTATTTGTAGACATTAACATGACACGCCTGTGGATAATGGGGATTTGAAAATTGTCATCGCCACTTTTTGTCAAAAATGTTAACCTTGTGCTTCCGATTATTATTTTCTTCAATAAATATGGAATCATTCTGAATATTTTATGATGATAAAAAAAAAAAATACCTTATTTCACATTTTTCTTTGTTTTAGAAATGGACCCTGTAATGTTTACCATGTTTTGAGAAAGGCTTAAAAAAAAAATACCTTACATGACAAATATCAAGTTCATAATGGGATACCTGCAAGTGACGTAGTGTGGGTATCTTGATCCTGATTGGTTGTTGAAACGCTGCATTTGTTTACGTTAGCAACTGTTCTTTCCATTCGAGTAAGCCGAACCCGTCTAGTATAAATTCTCTAAAGAGACACATTCTAAATTCTTTCACAAAGATTTCAATTCTTTCACTATATATTTACACTGAGACTTAACACAAAGACAGTTACGAAGCCTATGTGGAACATAAACTAACTAATTATGCATCAAAGTTGCCATGTACACAAAACAAAAATATATCACGGTAAGAAAAAAAACTCCAAAAAGAAATAATAAATGTTAAGTAAGGTAAAAGTAGACCTGAAAACATTTATAATTTCATACTCTCCAACTTATGAGGATTTTGATAATAATTCTTTTTAGTGGTAGCGAACCAAAGTAGAAATTTTTAAAGCAAATGGATCTCTCATAAAACTTTTATCGGAACTTAAGAATTTAGCCATATGGCCTGCACTTTTATAAGTAATAGTGGACAAGTTACGCTAAAATTAATTTTTTTTAAATATTAAGACATTAATTTTGCTACCGTCTGAAAAGAGGATTTCTGAAACTACGGAAATTCCGTAGCAGTTGGAGGGTATGTAATTTAATACATGTTTTTGCTGACATAGACACTTGACCGTATTTTAATTTAATTTTATAACTGTCGTCGAAGAGCCGACCCAATTTTACGGGTTTATAACTACTAATGTTCAACTCCATAGCCTTATAATTTTGAACCCAATCCAGAACACAAGGGAACTCCTGGATCAAGTATTGGGTGAAATTTGCCTTCGTGGAGGACTTTTTTGATGGAACTAACCCTCAATTGCGCTACATTGAGTGGAAGACCACGAGAACCTCCAACGATTAGCCTAAATAGAGGCAAGGGGACTTTAACCCATGATCCACTGAGGATATTTCACGTCAGCACTGTGGTCGGTGCAAGCTGGATGTGGAATTCGTATTGACTGAGATTTGAACCCAGTTTACCTCATTGGAAGGCGAACATTCTATCCCCTGAACCATCGCGGCTCTGGCCGTATTTCATATAAATATTTTTGTAAAAAATGAACAAAAATTGAATTTTACAAAAAGTTTTAATGTTTGGTTAATTTGCATAGCTGGGTCCCAGACCATATCATACTTTGACTGTATTAGATTTCTTTATGATAAGTGTTGCCATGCAACCACAATTTTGTCGACCCTTCACTGAGAGAATATATTTGATTTTGAGAAATATATATATATATACATAACACAATAAAGACAAAAAGGATAAAAGAAAAGTGAGATTAACAAAGAAAATTAATAATAAGTTTTATTTACTGGGATAAGCTGCAAGTACATAGAACTTGTAAAATAAGTTTTTATATATATATATATAAAAACATGAAAAAAATATAAAGATTTTTCAAAATAGAAGAAACAATTATTAAAATAAAGCATATTTAAATTTTTTTTTAAAAAGCTGGAAAACAAAGTAAGGAAAATATATAATCTTGTCTAAGTCTTCAATTTCTTGATTCCCCTTTTAGTATTTTTTCCAGGAGTAATTATAATGTTATCTGTTTCCCAAATGTGAAACTTCTGCTTCTATCTTTTTTAGAGTATAATCTAATAGTCGGAGGATGCTCTTCTTAGAGATTGTCGAATAAGCAGTTTGAGAAATTTTTCCTTAGTTTCTAAAAGATAACATTGACTCCAACTTTGAGAAAAAAATTATTACCATTCAAAATCAAATATTAATCATATTTGATTTTATAATATCACATTTGATTTTATAATTCATATTTTGATTATAAATAATCACGAATGAGAGTAATCAGAAAGTAAAAAAGAGGAAATCCAAGACTGAATGAATAATTATATATTATACACACACACAAAAATTTGACAAAAAAAAAAGAGCGATTTTTAAACATGTAAACCATGTGACTATAAATCCCGATGATTAATTTTATAATTGTATGGATATGAATCACATGCATGATTTTAAATAGAGAGAATATGAATCCCGATATGAGGTTTTTAAATCACGTGAATATGAAATTCTATATCGAACTAGTGGGCTGCGCCCCCTGCTCGCTAACCCCAGAAAATTGCTACACAATCTTATATGGTTTGCTTCGCAAACCAAGCTCGCTTCGCTCGCTACTAACTTAGGTACACTGCAAATGCACAAAATTCTAAGAATTCAAAACAATCATTCAAATCCATATAACAACTTTTTTTTAAAAAAAATATTGCATCTTTTTTGTAAATACTAAGTCATTAAAATAAATTTGAATTCAAATAAATGACA